AAAATAAATGAACGAAAATTACAACGAGGAAAAAAGAAAGAAAAGAACGATTACAAAAGGGGATATTTCATAATTATACAAACTTTAAAAAGTACTGTAAATTCTCATTAGAAAAGTTTCGAACACTTTATACTTCCTTTTAGGTTTAGGAATCTTTTTTTTTTTGTTGTAAAAATAGCACGGTATAGCCAGTTTACGGACTGGTCATTCAAAAATAGCCAGCATTTACCAAGTCAATAAAAAATAGCCACTATTTTGCTGTAACAGAGACCGATCCAGCATAATATACTGGAGTTCGGTGCACCTGTGTATACCTGTGTATGAACTCCAGCATATTATGCTGGATCGGTATACTTTGCTGGCTCCAGTATATTATGTTGGACCGGTATACTTGCAGGAACTCCAGTATATTATGCTGGAGTTCTAGTATACTTATACTGGATCCAACATACTTATTCTGGAACTTCAGTATAATATGCTGGAGTTCAAGTATACTTATGCTGGAACTCCAGCATAATATACTAGCGTATTTTCCGGATTTTGAACAGTGTTTCGCTCAGATTTATCTTTATATGAAAAGTGGCTAAATTTTGATTACTTTTGAAACAGGGCTATATTTGAACGACCAGTTGTAAATCTGGCTATTTTTTAATTTCTCCCTTTTTTTGGTTATTAAAATTTTGAGAAAACTATCCTCTATAGCCCCTCAAAATTTTAATAGCTCATATTTTTTTTAACTCACACGAAATGGCCCTCCGACCCAAATTTATTGCATCTAATAGCCCAAAATATCTATTTTGTATATTTTTTGTATAGTAACAGTCTGTTTTATATATTTTTTGTATATTGATAGTCTATTTTGTATTGTGACAGTCTATTTTATATAATGATAGTCTATTGTATATAAATTGTATAGTGACGTCTATTTAGTATATTTTTGTATAGTGACAGTCTATTTTGTATAGTGACATTCTATTTTGTATATTTTTTGTATAATGACAGTTTATTTTTGTATAATGACAGGCTATTGTATAAATTTTGTATAGTGACAGTCTATTTTGTATAATTTTTAGTGATAAATTTGTAATATATCAATATTCAAATCTATTTTCACATAAAGAAATACATAAATATCCACATAAATATATACTAATGGCGGGCCTGAACTTATGATTCCCATCAAAATCAACTAATAACATACATGTGAAAATGGAAATTTATTTGGTGAAAACCAAAGTATTTCCCTAGCAAAGAAAGTTAGCCCAGAAAAAAATGAAGCAATAATAGAGAGCTTCGGATTTTTATTCAAAGGGTGGTTGCCCCTCTCTCTTTAGCCAATGATTTTCCTTTTCCACTTTTAAAACAAAACCAACGGCCCTTGAATTCCTGGAAATACGTACTAATAACAAATGAGTTGATTTGTTCCTTCAGTTTGGTTTGGAGTTGCTCTTGCTCTGTTAAATCGTTATATTATGCTTATTGCATTAATTGCTAAATCTCTTGTAATTAGATCAAAACTGTTCCATTATTGATTTCATAATCTAACGTAAAAAACAAAAGAAGTAAAAAAAAATCCAAAGGAAAATCAATAAAATGCACATGTCTCTAAAGTATGGATTCCAATATCATTTCGCAATGCTGCATGACTAAAAATTCCAGAAAAACAACCATGTGATTATAAAGTATGGATTTATGTTAAAACCAAAGTAAAGATTAGACCAAATATATACAGCTAAAAATTAGGGGGTTTTAACAGGTTGTAAGCGGCGAAACTGAGAAATAAGCATAAAGCATTACTTTTGGACTAGCCACTAGAATTACTTTTGGGCTATAAAAGGTGTATTGTAATTTGGAATTTTTACACCCTATAGAAAACCTTAGTACCATACTTATTTTAAATAAATACCATTTTAAAATATTACATCCTATAAATACCTTTTATCTTTTATAGCAAAAAATCTAAATATAGTTACATCCTACAATTAAGGCACCATATATGCTAAATATTATTTTTCTCTCTCCCTTTTTGTATTTTCTCTCATATAATTACCGCGTATCTGCAAACCCCAATACAATCTCTCTCTATTTGCATATAACCAGATGCTCTTCTCCCACAAACCCTAGTTTCTTAACTCTTCTCCCACTCAAATTCTCAATTTTCAATCCTTAAACTATCAGAATCATCAATTACATATATGTGGAAGAGTCCAATGCAGTGAGTGTGACATATCTCTTTGCATCTGTTATCAAAGAAAAGGAGGAGAAGGAGAGAGATTGAGTACGGGGAAGTATCAAAGAAATTGACTCCGAGGCGAAAGGCTTCACGGACGGCGGCAAATGCGTCTTGTTCGGAGACATCCCCGAAGACTTTGCCAAGAGGATAACATGGAAAGATTCCTTTTCACGTACCTTTTCAATTTTTGTAGATGTGTTAGGGGGCTGACCAGCCGGAATTAATGGCTGGCCGCCGGTCGGCGAAGCCATAGGGCTGTTTCTCTCTCTAGATCGCCCAAATCGCCTGTTTGTATTCAGTTGTATTCGAATGTATTCTTCAACTGTATTCACTTGTATTCAGGTTTAATCAGTTGTATTAAACTATTTTATTCAGCAATAGTTAGTTGTATTCAAGTGTTTTATACAACTGTATTCAGTTGTAGTTAGTTATATTCAACTATTTTATTCAGCAGAAGTTAGTTGTATTTTGTTGCATTCAAGAGTTTATTCAGCTGTATTCAGTTGTATTTTTGTTGTAATCAAGTGTTTTATTCAGATGAATTAAGGTGTATTTTGTTGTATTCAACTGTATTATTCATATGTATTTCTCTTTATTCAGCTATAATCTTTATTATGTATCTTTCAAATACAGATTAATGAGGGATCGTTTTAGTTCGTTGAGTTAAATTAGGAGAATATCATGTGATTTTATTTCCTTCCGTTTTTAGCGCAAATACGTCACTGTATTTAATGTTAATGTCGCTTGAATACAGCTAAATACATGTCAAACTTAGCTGGAATTCCAGATTTTATGCCTATATTTTTGGTTGTATTAATGAATACAACAGTTTAAATACATGAAATACATTGTATAAAAACATAAAAGATATCTATAACACGTAATATAGCAAATGGTATCTATAAATGACTAATTAGACAAAAAAGATGATGCTTTATGAAAAATTCTCTTGTAATTTTGGGTTACCGGATGTTATATATTTGGCCCGAGTAGCTATAAATGATATTTGCTCGGGGAAAAAGCTCTTTTTTCCTCTGACCNGTTTGAATCCTCATGTGTATGGACGGGTAACTTTATTATTAAAAGAGAGGTGAATTGTGAGGAATTTGGTATAAAAGAATGGAGTAAAAAACAATTTTTTTTTTCATCAAGTAAAAACAAAATAATTCTGGTCTGTCGAGGTTAGAAGAAACTTTGGAATCTGAAAATTGAAAGAGGAATAACTGATGGGAGTATAAATGGAGGAGAATTATTAGGGAGACGGATTTCTGGGAGATTTTAAAGAAAAATGGAGCGGGGAATGGGTCATTCGCCAGCCACGGATTTTGCTTCACACATGATCAAATTACGGATTGGCAAATGGTGCGGGCGGTGCGGTTGCGGGGCAAACCCGCATAAACCCGCCCCGCCCCACGTTTTTTTTTTTAAAAGAAAATATTTTATAATTTGAGAATATTATCAAAAGACACCATATTTCAATGCATTATAATTTATATATTCTTCTTTTTAGAGAAATTTTATACAATTTTTTCTTTATTTTGCTTCTTTCGTTGGTATTAATGTACAAGTATTCTTCGTTTTGGATTGTAATGTATAAAGTTGTGTTTGAGAAACTTGCATCTTTTGACAAACCATCCACCCTTTCTTTTCCCATAATAAAACCATTAAAATCCATTACTGCATCAATGTAAACGTGAACTAACCATTCAAAAATCTTAAAAAAAAACAAGGCAACGAATTGTAAACATGTATTAATATTGTTTGCAATTGTACTAATTGCAAACACAGCGAATTGCAACGACTTTGTGTTTGGACTTTTAGGTTTTATTATGAGCGTTTTACCTTTTAATTCAAAAAATTAAAATTTCGACCCACACCCACCCCGCATCATTTAAAAAAAAAAATATTAGAACCGCCCCCGCCCCCGCAAATGCTGAAACCTGCCCCGCCCTGCATCCACACCATTGCCATCCCTAGATCAAATGTATAGACTTACACACGCCAAAAAGATAAAAATTCATGGAGTAATATAAAGATTGTTCAAATATTAATAAGACATAAATAAAGGTAAAATAATCAAAAATATAATTATTTTCTTGAGGGACGTGTAAACCAAAAACATAAGACAAAGGGAATAAATTAATAGGGTGCAAGGTTAGGGGGATCTCAGGGATTGGTGTCTGGAGTCGCTGGTAGAGGGTTAGTGTCCGGAGTCGGAGGGTCAAAAGCTGCGGTTCAAGGTCCGGGGTTCGACGGTTCCAGGGAATTAAGGTTTGTCCCTTGACGAATAACCACTTGGTGACCCTGGTGTGTTGCAATTTGGACCTAAGTAATTGGATATCCATGCAAGCATTACAAACAAAACGTGACACTTGAGTTGGGATTCATCAACTGTGTTTATTGTAATTTCCATTCCATTGTCAAGCTAGAAACTACAATCTCCATAGTTTTTAGCGTTTTCTTTGTTTGACCATCCGTTCAACTTTGCAAACAATATGCCATTTTTAGACATCTAAAAGAACCCAATGCAATGGAAGAGTTCACGACAGACTTGAAATCAGTTTCAACCTTGATTAGGAAGAAATAACTAATGCCAGTAATTTGCTTAGCCAGTACTTAATTGGAACATTGAAAAACATAATTATGTGCAAGCTCAACCGGCGGACAAGAACGAAATTACTCTGAACATGTACAGCAGAAGTAGCTTCGATACCCAAGCTCCAAAAAGTAGATACACAGCAAACTTGAATAAGAAGGGGAACAAAAGAAGGGCAAAAGTTATCTATTAGGCCACCTCAAATGCAAAAGGTAGAGGATTAGTTTGGTCATTCTAATTACAATCAAGCAGCAAACTATGTATAAAACTAAACATATCACCTGTTACTGTTGCAAAAAGATGCCATGCATATAACCCAAAAGCAACCAAAAACCTGCAAAATACAAAATGCAACCACCAACAATGTTCTGTATCAAATAGCCATTTTATGATCTCCACTTCTCTTTCTATATCCTGTGGTGAGCAGAACAAAAGAAAAGAAAGATGAAAGAAAGCAGGTATTAAAAGATTTCGTCCTTACCATCAGTAATTTTTGGTTTGAACATGACATCAATAAAAGTAACTGGAGTCATCAATTAAAGTAATCTTCTTCTTCATCAAAGTAACCATAATCATACTCTTGATAGTCTCTGAGGCCAAGGACGTGACTATAATCATAAGCAATATCGGCGAACACAGATTTGTAGCCATCATCAAAAGCCCAGTAATGCCCAAGTCCAGAATCAAATTCATAATCATGAGTGGAATCATGAGGGAGTTTTAAATCTACAATCTGTTGCCTACATCTTCTTCCTAAATCCGCTTCAAGATTTAGATTATAACAGCGCCGCAAGTCAAGCAATTCAAGGTGTGGACAGCCATCAAGAATGGCCTGCAATCCTACATTTGTGAAGGTATTCTCAAGAAGCGAAAGGTGCTGCAATTTAGGCATACTTCTGGCAATAGCTAGAGCTTGATAATCGCCGTGAGATGATGGAAGTCCAAATATAACGGATACACTGTCATTCAATATAAATGACTTGAGCAGAGGGCAATAGCAACCAACACTTTCTATATCATCTTGAGTAATCACGGTGGAGTGGAAGTGCAACTCCTCCAACAACGGGAAATTCTTGGCAACTGCAGCCAAACCTCCAGCTAAGTTATAACACTTGACAAGTCGGAGATGTCTGAGCTGACTTGATCTGTTAGAAAGAATAACAAATTGATTACATTAAGAGAACTCCTTTTTCAAGGGTGGCAACAAAAACAAATGAGCAATTACAAAAACACCCACAAGGTAAAAAAAAAATTGATTACTCCCTCCGTTTCAATTTATGTGTCTTAGTTTGACTGGGCACAGAGTTTAAGAAAGTAAAAGAGACTTTTAAATCTTGTGGTCCTAAGCTAAAGATGTGTGTAGTGTACCAAAATGTCCTTGAATCTTGTATCTTAAATATGCCATGTGAAAAGTTGCAGTGAAAGAGTTACTAAACATAGAAAGAGGCATTCTCTTTGAAACAGAACAAAAAAGAAAGTAAGACACCTAAATTAGAATGGAGGGAGTACTATAATATCGGCCTGGATTTAAGAATTTCTCATTCAGATATTCAGGCATTTCTATCTTACAAAAAGAGTACACTTTTGGACAGAATAGAGGAAACATGCATGTTAAATTGCAACTATATTAACAGTCCTATGAATCCAAATGTCAAAACCATTCTTGGATAGAGAAGAGCATTGGAAGATCTTGCTAGTTACCTGAGACTGGTTAGTAGGCTAAATTATCTTATAGGAGTAACTAAACCAGATTTCATTTGCACTAATCGTGGCCAATAAGTACAGTGGAACATGGTACTTGCACATTCTTAGGTAATATCAAATAGTTTAACAAGGATTATCATATAAAAATATAGGTAAGTTTCATAACATACCCATTTAGAGGACTCACTTTCATGATATACTCAAGTTTTGAAATTACATTAAATATCTCAAAAGTATTACACTCTATACCTCCAAATCTTACCACACAGGTGCGAATGTAGCCTTTCGGCTACAGATTCAACTGAATCCATAACTTTCGACATGCAGTATGAATTTATATGTAAAAACCTACTAAAATCACAATAAGTATTAGATTTGAACCCATAATTTTAATAGTACATTGCGTTCAATGCTAAAAATCTTAAAATCTATACCCATTTAATTAAAATCCTGGATCTGCTTCTGTTCTCACATATTCTGAAACATAGCACAATATTCTAATTTGGAATACAATCCAAATCGAACATGCCACATTATTCTAATTTAGAAAACAATATTCAAACTAAACATACTACAATATTCTAATTTGGAATATAGTATCCAAACCAAACATACCACAATATTCTAATGAGGAGTATAATATCCAAATTAAACATATGACAAATTTGAAATATAGTATTTAAACCAAATGTAACTTAGAAATATCTAACTCCACGTACCTTTATATGGGAGTATTGTGCTTTTTGTGTACATATATCAAGATAATTACTCGTTAGTTCAATTGATTAAGAAATCGTTAATTAAATTTTCAATGTAATCAATTGATCACATTAATTGCCCAGAGGTGAGAAGCCAAGACAATCAACCCATTTAACAGTTTAAAAAACAATTTTAGGCCAACAAATACGAACCTCTGAGCAATGTAGTCGAGCAAATCTTTGCTACCAAAATTGTCGATGTTAATTTTGAGTAACTGGCCCTGGCTACGCTCCACAGCAATCCGACATATCTGCTCCAAAACCCTAGTCGTCTTGAAACTAGGATCGTCATATTTCAAATCAATAACACGCCACATAGCGGGGTCATGGCACACCTTCCACCACGTACTACAAACTCTCTCTGCATTCTCCAGTATCTCTACCGTTCCCAGCCGCTGCAGAATGTTTGCCGTGATTTCCATCGGAAGCTCCACCCACGGCGGTGATGACGATGGCGGTGTAATTGAGGATGAACATGATGGTTTCACGACTTTCTGTCCTCTCGGCATTTTGCTTTTTCTTCCCAAATATTAGTGTTTTGTTTTTTGTGGATAGAGAGAGGGAGTGCGCCTTCAAAGTGAAAGCGCCAGCAAATTCAGTTCTCCAGATACAGAGCCTTTTTATAGGGAGCGCAGATAGAGGGAGTACAATCCATGTGCAAGTGCAGAATACACACGAAGTTTTCTCATAGATTAACATAATTAAATAATTTATAACCCTTTATAAGATATTTGGAGTCCCTCAACAACAATAATAATAAACCCAATATAATTTTATAAGTCGGATTTAGGAAAGGTGTGATATAACTTAATACAAATTAAGAAGATGAATCAATATTGGAATTAACGATAATAAAATAAATGCAAACCACAAAATTGAGCAACCTTAGCTTCTGAGTTTGATCACCCTAAAGTGTCTCAACTAGTGTTTGAACTGAACAATATGATAATAACTAGAAATGATCAGCATATTGCTTTCTTTTTGTGTATTACGATGTGTCTTACAAATAATCAAAACTCCCTTTATATAGTGGGAGTGTTCTACTTTTGGCATAATTCTATACAAGGTAAAAAATCTCATGATTTGCTAGTTAATCGACCTCTTCTTGATACGTGCCGAGAATTTTGTCGTGATCCTCGATCGATTGCAGATACTTTGCCTTTTCGTTATTTGGCTCGGTAAGTTTCCCTCGATCTTACTCGATCTCGATCTTGCTCATTCCCTGGGTCACGAGCTCGACGATCTAATTTTGCGCCTTGGTTCGATATAACCCAAGCTCGATTTTTGTCCTGCCATGTTTCAGCCTCGATTGGTCAAACAATGAACGAACCCGGTTTTCACCGTATACAGAAGGTAGTGTGTACACAGACCTTATCCTTATCTTCAAGAGGCACAGATGTTTTTTTCAATAGACTCTCGATTTTCAAGGACAACAACAAGCACGCGAATAAGAAAAATGAAGCAAAAATACAAAACTAATATTAGGTACTACAATCGGAAAGCCGAAACAAAAGCAACAACCAGTAATAACAGAAGACAAGGAATACGAAAATACACAAATGACACTTAGTGTTACGCAACGCCTTCCTGATGATCTTTGGAAGGGCAACGTAAGGCTAAGCAACCGATGTCNACCCATGACATTAGTCATGTACTGAAGTTGCTGTTGCAGACAAAGACAACGCTCAGCTACCTAACCCTTTACCTTTATTCTCAACTCTCATACCTTCTTATCCATGGTCATGTCCTTAGTAAGTTGGAGCAATATCATATCTTGCTTAATCACCCATCTTCAATACTTCTCTGGACTGCCTCTACCTTTCCTTATTAGATTATTTAGTGCCAATCTCTCATACTTTTTGATTGGTGTATTTGTATCTTTGCCCTTTGTATGTCCTAATTATCTAAGTCTCGCCTCCCGTGTCCGCGAGGGATAAACAACGGTGGGATTCTAGAATGTTGAGTACTTAATGGTTAAGCATTGAAATTGATACATTAGCATCTTGGAAATTGGTAGCCGCCATTATCATTTGCATTAACTTTTCTAAAAACATCTAATGATTATATTTCATGATTAAAAATCTAGGGATTATATTGGTGGTTTGAACAAATACAAAATATATTTTGAAAGAAACCTTTAGATAATTGAGAGAGTATTGGAACAGGTTTAGTGGCTTAGAAATATGGCATTAGGGATTCGTATATTCCTAGCGGAGATGAATGCCAATGTCTAACAAGAACCTCCCTAGTAGTGAAAAAATATGGTTTTGAAAATCAAGAGGAAAAATTACAGATTTGGATTGGATCTGCTCCAGTTATAAAAATACAGATTTGGATTGGAGCCACGTATTCGTGTGAAATTTTAAATGCTTAGATCTCATTTCTTCTATCCCCCTCTTAAAACTCCTTTTTCTTCCAAATGAAAGGTAAACACGGAGCTCCACCGAATGAGTGATGAAAAGCTTCTTCGACAGATTTTTTCTTAGTCCAATATTTGAGCTGCCGTTTTTGAGATGGGTAACCCAGCTTTGTGGAAAGCAAAACTAAAATTAAAAGACATTTCAGTTATAACAAAAAAAGAACACATCTTTGTGAGAATTTTTTATGGAAATAATATAGGTGTCTTCATGAATTGAAAATCTCAATGTTATGATATATAGATGTGGATACAAGGAGGAGAAGGATACAGATAATTGAGCGAAGCCAGGCTACAACGTTGTCTGGTGACTAAAAAGGATGCACATAGTGTGACTTCTGTATTTTTCTTCCAAGTGAGAGAAAGGAGTTTTATGAGAAGCAGAGGATCTAAGCCTTTAGAGGGACACGTGGCTATAATCCAAACCTGTATTGATACATATCGGAGCATTTATTATCGGAGCAGATCCTGACCCTTTAATCTATATATATATATATATAGGACTACAATATTATTTACTTCATTTTACTTTTGACTGGGCACAGAATTTAAGAAAAAATAAAGACTTTTGGAATTTGTGGTCTTAAACAAGTTAAAAAGGGACTCAGAGTATTTATGTGGTTATAAAAGCTTCTCATTAAGGGTAGAGTTGTAAGTTTATACTAAATTATTTCCAAATTTAAAAATAGTTCATTCTTTTTGGAACGGACCAAAAAGAAAATAGGTTCAGGAACGGAGGAAGTATTGCTTAGGCAAGTAGGACATGTGCCTTGAAAATCCACGTTTCTAAACTCCTTTAAGGTTTAGGGGTCCTTTTTTGTCAATAAATAAACGAAAAGGACTATATATGTTCATGTACTATCAAATATATATATATTTGGGACATCTCTCTTTGACTATGATTGCCATTTATCTTTTTTCTCATTCTTTTTAGCTTTTTTTGTGCTCAAAAATATTTTCCCATTCAATAGACTTTTTACTATTAAATGTATTACAATTAATATTGATTATATTACAACTCCTAAAGGTACGTTACTTATCTTTGTAATTACTCAATGTTTACCACCCTATTTAGTACCTACCATTATTTTAACCTTTAAGACCATGTTCTTCTCTAATTTAATGAAAATAAATATGCCACTCAAGCGTCCGTCTCCTTCAAATAGTCCATTTGCTCTCTACTAATGTTGCCATTCCTTTTGGCGTCAGGTACTTTTGGATTTTTTTTTGCTCTTTAACTTTTTGTAATATTTTGTCCTATAGAAGATTGTTACTTTGAATGTAATATCATTTATCCTACTTTGATGTATTGATTTCCTGATAATAATTATTTTCGCATGTCGTTTTTTCTCTTCTATTTTTCTGATTTGGTGGATATAATTCTTTTGTCATGTTTTTATTTTTAGTGATCCATTGATATGTTATTTTTAGCAGATTATTATAATTTTTAATTGATATTGTTCTCTTCCTTTTTTTGGTTTCATTCTGTTTTTTGTATATAGAAGTAGAATATCTTTTTTTGGTTTCTAATAGATTTGAGTTTTCTTGAAGTGAAAGCAAGTATCAAGGTATTAAATTTCAGATTTCAATTGTAATATATTTCTTTTTGAAAATTTATACATCTTATTTTCTCTATTTTAGAGTATATAAATAGCCTGGATACATTAATATCTTTAATGTATTTTATTAGATAGTATAAGAATATTTGTTTGTTAGTTGCTAAGATTGAGAACTATATCAATCTATATACAAATGTTGTTTAAGATAAGTTTTATCAGAAAATACTTAAATTTATTGAAGTATAGTTTCATCGCATAAGAAGAGTTTGGTGATTGTTTCCCATTTAGCATTTTATACCCTTCGGTGCTCTTTTTTTATTCCAATTTATAAGATTGTACTATAGTAATATTTTAGGTATATATCGGTGTTTATTTTTTCTTTAGTATATAATAACGATAATTATTTTCCTTTCTTTTACTAGTTTTTTTAAAAGGATTTTCTTAAATTGCAATGCTTTCGCTCTCAACTATTGATTAAAGAAAGATGAAGAAACTTCATTTGTGACATCCTATTCAAATGTTTGCGAGAGGAGTTGCATTTTAAATAAAGTAAATGTCAATGTGTCCTCGCTATAATCAATAGTATAATCTGTAGAACTTTGGCCTTATGAGACATTACAAATAGAAATTAAAAATTATTATTGAAAATTAGGATTTGGACGCACATATTATGAGTAGAAAACTACATGGATTATGATAATTCAAACTTATCAAAGGAGTAATTTTTTTCTAAATTAGACACTTGACCAAAAGAAGTGAAGTTGTAAAAGTTTATCTGAATAGGTTTTAATGGATACTCTATTTCACAAACATAAGTATTCTGCTAGAACTTTAGTATTCATATTTTTTTTAAATATTTGATATCTTTTACGATCGCGCAAAGCGCGAACATATATACTAGTTAGTTATATATGTTTTAATTGATAGGCTATTTCACAAACATAAGTATTCTGCTAGAACATATATACTAGTTAGTTATATATATGCCTCGTTATACTATTTCACTTTTTACCCTTATCATTACCTATTTAAAAATATTTACCCCTCAATCTAACAAACATGGACCCCCAGCCGTCCTGTTACACGTGGCTTTATCTTAAGCCCCCACCCCTTTTTTTATTTTTGATTTTGTAAAGCCCCATCTTAATATTTATTACCCAAATTAATAACCCACCCCAAGACCCCATCCTAAAGGTTATTAAACACTTGCCGCCGCCACTACCTCCATGACCACCAGCATCTCCACAAAAAAAATTCTCTCTTTCACCATCTCTTCTATTTTCATTCCTCCAGCAACCTTCTTGCTCTCCCACAATGAAACTTAAGACCTCTCATCACCTTCAACATGGACTATCACCCGAAAATTTGTAATTTCGCCAGAAAATTTTATTTTTATGTACTCTAATTCTAACTTCTTAGAAAACATAGAATATCAACAACTACTAACCAAATTATAAGCGGACTCATTTCGTTCCGAAATAAACCCATACCGAAGTGATCAAATCAAATTCGTGTCTCCATTAAAATAATTATATATTTGTTCGCCCAAGAGGTATTATAGAAAGGGAAAGAAAATAGAGGTTGGCGTATAAGAACAAGTTGTATAGAACTTTGAACATTTGTGGGATTTAAAAAACTTTGTTTTATTTCTGAAAAATCAAGT